ACAAAAAAACGACAAAAATGAAAAAGAAACGGCCGACGTCGGAGAAGAGAGAGATTTGACGAGAGGAAAAAAAAAGGAATAATTAAATAAACGGGAGAGAACCGGTGATAGCCGGTAATTTTCGTCGAGAGATTGAAGTAGTTGATGAAAGTTGACTGACACGCTGCTCCACGTGGCACATGTTGATAAAGAGCTAAACCAAAGCTGGCATGATCCACACAAATGAAATTCAAATATTTTTTTGCCTAATCAAGTGAAGCAAAGTAAATTATGACAGTTATGGTAATTTACATTTTTAATTGATCTCTTTTAGTCTTTTTACCTTGATGATGAGCAAGATGTTATGTTCAGGGCCAGGCCCAATATACAAGAGTCCTCAGTGGAGGATTTTTTTTTTTTTTTTTAAATAAAACAATATCCTCTAAATAACATGGTTTTACAGATTTAGCTTTATTTTAAAAGTGAAAGTCAAATCTACAAAATCGAATTTAATCTGAAATATAGTCTACCGTCACTATCATCAAGTTTGTTAAATTATGATATATTAGAAGCTTGACGACGTTAGTAATAATAGATTTACATGATCGTAATTTTTTTAGAATTTAATAAACTATATATTAAATCGGAATTCTCGTAATGAAGAGTCCAAATCTACTCATAAAAATTAAAATTTTTGATGTGCGTGATCGTATAAAATTTTCGAATATACATATTGTATGAAGGTTAAATTTGAAATAGCATGCATTTTTTAAAATTGAGAATAAACTTGCAAGAATATATTTTCTTTTTGCGTAGAATCTTTAAAATAAACAGAAATTTCTTTTACTTCTTTTTTTCTTTCTATTTTAAAAATGAAAGGAAAAAAAAATTGTAAACACAAAAGCTCGACATTTTAAGCAAGGGTTTTGCTAGTGAGATCACACACAGAAAAAAAAATCTACACGAAACGTAAGAAATTTCCAAAGATTCTAAACTCGTATAAAATCTTTTGTGTCAGCTATTTTCGCACTCGATTTAAGTACAATCCGTGATTCTCACTTAGAGCCTGCAAGCTTGAATCTATGAAAAAATTAGATAATTTTGTAGGAATTAATCCTCATGATGAATCACCGACTTGGCATTCGTGTGTTGTTGGATTGGGGAGTACAATAGCTGTCATAATAATACTATTTGATCATCTTTTAGTCAAATGGAACCATTTTTTCTTTGACTCGTCAAGTAGTCATGGCCTTACTTATGGGCCTTCAAAGACAGCATCCTATGGAGAGGCCAGGCCACCATTTTTTATCTTGATAATGATAATATTCTTTTTCTTTGGGAAAATTCCCAAAAAAAACCCCAAATAATTTTTATTTGGAAGTTTAATGCCCAATTATTTTGCGTTGGTCTAAATGTATCTTAGTTAATTAATTGTTGTCAATTAAATCATAAACTTATTACTGATGGTCGTTTAAGTCATTCGACTTAACAGACGTTTAATCGGCTGACGGAATCCCTAAACCGGGTTTACTGGTTAAGAAAACGTGGTTAATTGGCCCAATTAAAAGACTATAATGCGCTCGTTACTTTCCCCCAAATCGTTGTTGGAAAAACCTAAAAATCATAAACCCTAATTCTCTAACTCTCTCGATTCTCTCCTTCGTTTCATCTCCTAAGAAATTCAGTGAGGCGATGATTGGAAGCGTTTGATCGGTTGCATATGTGTTGAGTCAGTGGATTGTATATCGAAGAGATGAGGTATGTCGATTCGCGTTTTTTCTCTGTAGATTAGAATTTCTAGGGTTATCCGACTTCAAAAAATTTCTGGGTTTGGGTTGGATCGATATTGTTTTACTTTGTTTACAACGATTAGCAACTGAATTTCTTATTTTGTAGTGATTTCGAGTGTTTGAAACTCAACATTCACTACCGAGGAGATGTATCAATCAAGGAGCAGTCGTTCGATTACATTGGAGGGTTCGAGGATAAAGACATGTTGATGGATCCTGATCTGATGACATGGTCAATCTTCGAGGATTTTTGCAAAGAAAAGGGAGTGAGTGGTGAAGTCGAAGCGATTTGGTACAAGCTTCCGCATGAGGATAGAAGTTCAGCAAGGGTTATCAAGACAGACAAAGATGGTGGAATTAGGGAGTTGTGTCGTGAGGCTGTGGTTATGTCTTGTAAGTAATCTGACATTTTGAGTATTGCCTCTTTTAGTTATGTCTTATTCAGATTTGATCAAGGTATGTCTTATTCATAGGATAATGATGATCCATGGAGCATTAACAATGCTCCAAAGAGGTGGCAGCAAGCTCAAAGCCAGTCCACACCATCTGGTTCTCAAAGTCAGTCCACACAAGTACTGCAGCATTCAAGTGCTCCAGCAGCTAATCCAAGTGGTAGGGGACGTGCTCGTGGACGCCCTCCAGGAACTAAGAATGGTGAAGGCAAGGGTCGTGGCAAAGGTGCTGGCAAGGGTCGTGGTAAAGGTGCTGGGAAATATGAAGCTCCTAAACCGCCTGTTTTCTTTATGTCCCCATGGACTGACAAAGTGTTTGATGTTTGGCAGCCTGGCAAGAAATAGGCTGATCTTATTGATGTCTTTTAAGATCTTTCTGATGTAGGATGCTGCTTAAGTTGGATGATGTTTGTTTTGGTGGGATCCTTGTATGTTTTTGGTGGGATCCTTATGACTAAGCGGCTCTTTTTGGCTCTTATGTTGGATTAACTTTTTATGAAACTCCCATTAGTTCAAACAAGACTTACAAACTTGTCATACCACAACAACAACAACAACGACAACACAGAAAACAACACAGAAAACAACAACAACAACAACAAACAAAACAAAAACTACTTCCCCATTGCAAGTATCATGGCAATAACAACAATGAAGCATCCCCAAGACAACACAATGAACTGCCGAAGCATTTTCTCTCTCTCATTAGCACCCATAACTTCACTTTCAAGCTTTGCCTTCTCTTGTTCGTATATATTCCCTAAACCACTTTTCAAATTCGTCGAAGCACTGATAGTTTGATCATTCTTCGTCTTCACAGATTCATTAAGCATCTTTATTTCCTCTTTAAGCTGACGAATCTCATCTCTTGCTTCTAATAAGCTCACCTTCTGCCAACCATATGGCTTCTCTTGATCAGCCCAATCGAAGAACCCATGAACACCACTTCTGAAGAATCTTCTTCCCGGATTCTCGTTTGTCCATGCTTTAACAATCGTTGTCGCCCTACCACAGTTGCAAAGAGGACCCCAACTTCTGCTCACCGAATTGGCATCATCCCCAGAACATTGACTCAACATCTCTCTAATTGTTGTGAAAATTGAAGTTTTGATCTAGGGTTCTTGGTCTCATATTCATATATCGATTTGGGGGAAAGTAACGAGGGCAATATAGTCTTTTAATTGGGCCAATTAACCACGTTTTCTTAACCAGTAAACCCGGTTTAGGGATTCCGTCAGCCGATTAAACGTCTGTTAAGTCGAATGACTTAAACGACCATCAGTAATAAATTTATGATTTAATTGACATCAAGTAGTCATGGCCTTACTTATGGGCCTTCAAAGACAGCATCCTATGGAGAGGCCAGGCCACCATTTTTTATCTTGATAATGATAATATTCTTTTTCTTTTCTCTTTTTGTGCCAAATTATAATGTACTTTTATAGGTCTAAATTCTAATCAAGAAATAACGTTTAGTGAAATCAAGAAATAACGTTTAGTGAATAGAAAAAAATCAGTATATTATAATTACGAGGTTATGGGTGATACTCATATAGTATCATAATATTTGTTTATTGTTTGAGATTTTATATGATACTCCTACAGTAGGATACTCCTATAGTCCTACTAAATATGTTTGCATTGGTGAGACCGGTTTAAATATCATAAAAAAAAAACTTGTAAAATAAAAAATTAATTTATTAAACATAAGATTACAAAAAGTAATATTACAATTAAAAAAACGTAGAATATATTTAAGCAAAATAAAATATAAAATTCAACCGGGTGCTTGTCTCCTGGTGGTAAAGGAACCTCGGCTGAGGCACCCGCCACTCGGCTTCGAGTCCCGGCCACTGCGCAATTTACCTGCGGGGCGCAGCGTCCCAGACCACCAGTTCCAGGGGGCCCTTAAGTGGAGGCTTAAAAATCCCAGGCACGCGGGCTTAGGCCCAGTGGGCTAGTCGGATCATAGTGTGGTCTGGACACTGGGTTATCAAAAAAAAAAATATAAAATTCAAAAAAACTTAAAAAACATGATGATAAAAATAAATTTTTTTTCTTACATGATGAGAAACAAAACGATTTTTTTTTTTTTCCTTTCTTTCGGTAAAATAATTTCCGCAACCAATCACGGCCTGCCACATAAGTTGATACTGGGTATCAGAAGTTTCAATGGACTGATACTATTTAGCCCAATTTTATGTGTTTGGGCCATTAAAAAATATTAAATGGATTACTGATACTCTCAAAAGTTTAGCTATGTACATGGTCACAATCTCAGCCTAAAAAAGATGTTTGTACCAATTTTAATTTGTTACCTTTCCTTAGTTTCTCAAAAAACGATTGATTTAGGTTTTGATTATTGCAAACACAAAAATGTGTACATTATATATATACACGTTTCTTGCATTTTCAGTTTAAGTACGAAAAAAATCAGTTTATTGTAAAATACTTTAACAAGTGCAAAACTTAATAATATATACAATTAATAAATTAATTTTGGTTAAGATGTTTAAAATTTTGAATCAACACATTATTTTTTGTCAAGAATTACTACAAACTATAAATAGACAAATGACCAATAGTATTATTTGGGCTAAATTTCGATCCAAATAGCAACTCCTGCGTTATTATTATCAACAACTAATTTTGGATGTGAAAAATTATGAACTAAAGATCAAGATTATTGATGATGAGAATAATATAAACTTTTTTTTTTTTTGTTTCTGGCAGATGGTACAACAGTTGCTTAACTTAAAGGCTCCATCACTGTGAATGTCCCTTATTTTGCTGTCAGCTTACAACAAAAACCAAAAAAGAAAAGAAAAGAGAGAAGCTTTGAGAAAGAAAGAAACACACACAGTGTATCAGTCTCTGTACTTTCACAAGCTTCCAAGCTCTCTTATCACTCACTGTACTCTTCCTTTCAAATAATGCTTCTTCTGATTACAAACAATCTTCTACTATTATATTTTCTTACACATTATCATTACTCTTTTTCAGGATTTTGGTTCTCGAGATTTGAGTTATACGACTAGACGCAAAAAAAGTGAAGATTTTTGAGATTCACTCTCTATCTCGATGGATTACGAACGAATCGGAAAGACCCAGGTGAGAAAATGCTTCGGTTTCACGTTTCCCGAAACTGGGTTTTGCGTAAAATTAGGGATATCAAAAGCCAGATTTGGCACTTTTCCGATTAGGAGAAATCTTTTACTTAAAAAGACAAACTTTCCTTTTTCAAATCACTTCATCATCTCTCTGTCTTTGATTTGATAAACTCTGTTTTCTCCGATGAGGTTTGTGATATAGGTTACTACTACTAGCGGCGGTGGATTTTCTCCGGGGAAGTTAAGAAGTATGCTTCTTCTTGGTGTTGATAGAAAGAAGAATGAAGAAGAATCTACTCCTACAATGAGATCTGGGTCTAATCAAATTGATGACCCTAGGGTTTATGGTGGAGCCCCTTAATCATTTGTTAATACTCTTTTTAAATACGCTTTTGTCTCTATTTGAATCTAAAGTTTGCTTCTTTTTTCTTTGCTTTTCTTGTCTTCAAATGTTATAGTTGCTAGTGGATTAGATGATTGCAAAGATGTTGATGTTGTGAGTGAAATTACTGATTGTTCTACTTCTGGGATTGCTCGATCGATTAGTTTGGGTCTTCAAGAGTATCCGAGTCTTGATTATGATAATGTGAATGAGATTAAGAGTGTTTCTGCTTCATCTGTCTTTGAGTTTCAAAAGACTGAGAAGGAAAAGGCTAATCAAAGAATGCCTATTAGATCATTCTCTAAACCAGCTCCATCTAAATGGGATGATGCTCAGAAATGGATAGCTAGTCCAACGGCTAACCGACCGAAGACTGGGCAGGTTCAGGTTCCGGGGTCGAAGAAAGGGCCAAGCTTTGGTCGCCAGTCATCTATGAAGATTGTTGAAGTTGCTGATCAAAGAGCAGGTGTATTCGCGGTTGAAGAGTCTGATACAAAGCGGATAGATGTAAGCCAAGTGAAAAAGGATATGGGAAACAAGTTTGTTAGCTGGGAAGTCGATTCATACACAACCGCGGATTCATATGTCAAACCGGTTCTTATGGTTGAGAACTCTATTGTAGAATCAGCAACTGAAGGTGGTGTTAGTTGTCTCTTTGAGTTATTGAGTTTGTATGCTCTGTTTATCTCCTAAAGCCAAACTTTACTTGCTTTCTTGCAGTTAATCTCAGCCGACATGACTCATCAGTCGCAACTGCGTTTGCCCAACCGCCTTCAACAGCAAGATCTGTATCGATGAGAGACATGGGAACCGAAATGACTCCTATAGCGAGCCAAGAACCTTCTAGAAACGGGACACCAATCAGGGCAACAACGCCAATCCGAAGTCCTATATCTTCTGAACCTTCAAGTCCAGGGAGACAAGCTTCAGCTTCTCCTATGACTAACAAGGAGCTGTCAGAGAAAGAGCTTCAAATGAAAACTAGGAGAGAGATAATGGTGTTGGGTACTCAACTTGGTAAATTAAACATTGCTGCTTGGGCTAGCAAAGAGGATGAAGATAAAGACGCTTCCACATCACTAAAGACCAAAGCTTCTCTACAAACTTCTAAAAGTGTTTCTGAATCTCGTGCTACCGCGTGGGAGGAAGCGGAAAAAGCTAAGCACATGGCTAGGTACCCGAAAGTTGCATTGTTTGTCAAAGTGCTTTACTGTTCTTGAAACTTTAAGCTTATTATGACTTTTGTAATCTTCAGGTTCAGACGCGAAGAGATGAAGATTCAAGCATGGGAGAATCATCAGAAGGCGAAATCTGAAGCCGAGATGAAGAAAACCGAGGTAAAGTAGCTTGAACATAACTACTCAAGTTCAAGTAATGATTGAACAAACTTGTGAAAAACCTCAATGATGATGGTGTAATTCTTGATATGTAGGTGGAAGTTGAGAGGATTAAGGGACGAGCGCAAGACCGGTTGATGAAGAAACTAGCTGCGATCGAGCGCAAGGCAGAGAAGAAGCGAGCAGCGGCTGAAGCAAAGAAGGATCGTCAAGCAGCTAAAACAGAGAAACAAGCTGAACAAATCCGAAGAACAGGCAAAGTACCTTCATTGTTGTCCTCTTGCTTTAGCTTTTGTTCTTAATAATAACATAAAATCCAATCCTATTGTGGTGTTGTTAAGTCTCAAGAACCCATCTTTTTATCATTTGTATAATAAAAGCTTTGAAAAACTACTTTCTTGTGATCTTTTAGTTCTTCGTAGATCTTAAATTTGGTTTTGAGAGTGTTGGGTAAAAATGTTTTGTTTTGTCGAATTACTCGGTTTAAAAAATCCTTACCAAATTGAAATCCATAACATTTGGTTCGGTAAAGTATTGATTTTGGTTTGGATTGAATCTTGGTTAGATTTCGGCAAAATAGTCCTTACCGTTTGATTGTGAAATGATTTACCAATTGGTTTACAATTTTTTTTATACTCGGTTCAAGTTCGGTTTAGATTACCTTATCATTTGTCTATTTCACAACATTCCAAAGTCGCTGTTACCACCAGAAGTTATAATATCAAGGCAAAAAATTTGGCTAACAAATAAACCAATAAGAAATCTCTACGTGTCAATAGATTGATAAACAATATTGATATTTCCCATCACAAAAGAGAAAAAAAAAAAAAAAAAAAACTTTTAGGCTTAGCTTTAAAGGGCACACACACACAATCGCGAGTTTCTCTCTGGTTCGCTCTTTGTGGCGGCTCGTCTTCTTCTTCTTCTTCCACGGGACTCTCTCTTGATCGGTGATTATCGATCTTTCTAGGGTTTCGATCTGAAACCTTGCGATCTACTTGAAAGATAGATTTAGAAATTTCGAAGTAATAATAATGTTTGCGCCTGCGACTCAACCGCAACAGCAGCAGCAGGAGAAGAAGCAATCGGAGACCGTTTCATCTGCTGAAGAAGATGCTTTGAAGTGGAACACCGATTGCGTTTACTTTCTCGCTTCTCCTTTAACCTGCAAGAAGGTAATTGATTTTTCGTTTAGATCTTATCCAGTTTCTGCTTCAATTAGGGTTTTGGATTTGAGATCTCAAGTTTCTTTCTCAAGATTTCAAGTTTCTCTGTGTTTTTTGTGTCCCTCGAAGCTATCTATACATACTTCACTTCTCCGTCTGCTTAATTTTGGGGCAAGATTTAGATCTGGTGATTTCGAACCTCGTGAATCCAAGTATTGTTGTTTCTTAGGGCTTCTTGTTAACTAGATTGAAAATTACATAGATAAAGATTTTGCTCAATGTGTACAATCTGATCTTCCTCATAGGTTTTGTTCCTCAGTTTATGTTAATGGTTTCTGCAGCTAGTCTGATCAGCTATAGCCTATAGGGATTCTTATGGTTTCTTCTTTTTCTTCTAACAGGGACCTGAGTGTGAGTATCGCCACAGTGAGTATGCGCGTATGAACCCAAGGGATTGCTATTATTGGTTGAATGGAAATTGTATGAATCCAAAATGTGGATTTCGGCATCCTGTGAGTTTACTTTCTTCTTCAATACAAATCTCTGCTTGAGCTTCTTAACATGTGTTATCAAGTGTGCTTATGCTGTGGCTTTTTTTTCTTACAGCCTTTGGAGGGGTTGTTGGGAAATCAAGGAGGTGCTCCTGCTGGTTCTGTACAGCCAACTCATGCAACTGTGCAGCATTCCGGTGTTGCAAAACAGCCGGTTCCATGTGTGTTCTTTCAAAAAGGCATGTGTATGAAAGGAGATATGTGTTCATTCTTGCACACACCGAATCCTGCTGCTTATAAAAAACTGCTTCCCGTAGAAGCTAAGCCTGCTGCTGATCCTCAGTTTTCTAAAAAGCCAATTGAAAATAACACCGGGGAGAAGAAATTTGCTGATGCTAATCTCTCAAAGGCGGTTAAAGCACATGTTGACATATCGGCTGCGCCAAGAGTCACATCTGCTGGCCTAAGGGATAGTAGACGCGTAGAGGGATATGTTCCAGAACATATGGGATATGACCCTGTTGTACAGAAAAAGGGTACGGGAGTTCCTTCCTTTACTGAAGGAGGCCATTCGACTCAGTTGCTTCATAAATATGGATCTGATGATAATAACAGTTTCCACAATGGTAAGGACGCAGATGACGTTTTAAGAGAGTCGTCTCCTGGGTTTGATGTTCTTGTGGATAATGAGGCTAGGGATTCGGAGTATTATCGTGTTGAAGATCGATATGGACGGAGAAGTCAGGAGGGAGGGAACTCTGTGAATGAGTATGACCCTGATTTCAGTGCAATAGCTGATGATGAAAAAGCATTCCATGATCAGCGTTTTGATCCATATGATCAGAGGGAAGACAGGTATGCATGGGGCAACCGTCGAGTTTCTTCTGAGAGAGGAGATCATTCAGAAAGAAGGGTTTACGCAGAAGATGAGAGATCAGAGAACATATTGGCATCAGATCTGAGATATCGTTTGGCTAAGCAGAGGAAAGTCAATGGTGTGAGATCAGTTGGAAGCCATGACTATGGTGCTCCTGACTCTTCAGTGGAAAGAGGATATAGAGACTCTCGTAGGGATACACTGAGGGAAAACTCCATTAGCAGCAGCCGTCTACAGGGTAGAATTAAGCTTCGTGAGAGAAGCAATGGCGATGAGGGTCACCACTTTGACAGGAGAAATGAGAGGGGAAGGGACAGAAGCGAGTTATCTTCTCAGGGTAGACTCCGAGATAGAATTAAAGGTAGATTAGAGGAAAACCATAGTGGTAATCAGGAAAGAGGTTTCCGGGCTCCATGGGCGAGAAGAAGAGAAATGGAAGACGAAAGAAAACCAGCTCCTAAAAGCATTGCAGAAACTAAAAGCACCAGAGAGGAAAGTAAGCCAGAGCTATCTCTTGGGAAGAGGAAAAGCTTTGAAGAGGATCATCATAGTCATAAGCGATCAGGAGATTCATTTGCAGCTCCTTTGCCTTTCAGTGAGATTCTGAAGAGAAAAAGAGCGGCTGCATCTGGTGGTAGCAGACACAACAACAAGGACGAGACGATAACGAAAGAGGAAGCTGGAGATGAGACCAAACTCATAACAGAAGAGAAAACCGAGGTTGTCTCCGAACCCAAAGCTGAAGTAGAAGAAGAAGGAACGATTATGGAGGAAGAAGATGTCGTTGGGGAGGAAGTGTATGAAGGAAATGAAGATGAGCAAGCTTATGAAGGCGATGAGCTAAACGGAGAGTACTATTACGAAGAAGGATATGAAGAAGAGGGAGGAGAATACACTTACGAAGAAGGTGAAGAAGTAGTTTACGCGGCTGAGGAAGGAGAAGAAGAAGTGACAGAAGGAGGTGAAGCTGAGGGTGAAGAAGACATTGAGAAGAAGACCGTTGAGATGTTGTCATAAAAGAAAAGAGATAACACAGAAAAAGCTTTTGCTCCTTTCCTCTGATCTCTCTGCTTAATGCAAATGGGAGAGAAGTCGTTGAGCAAATAATATGCGAGTCGCTTTTTATCTTTGGCTTGGCACTGAGTTTTAGTCGCCATTTTTTCTTATTATGATTTCTTAAATTGTAACACTAGAGAAGAAGAAAGAAAAGAAACGATGGTACAAGTACAACATCATATTTCTGATTTTTTCTGTTCTTCTACTCTGTTTTGATAAATGACTTTTTCCTTGAATTAAATGGTATTTAAAGTAAACATCTTTAATTTTATTCGATATTTAATAAAAAAATTAAAAAAAAAATAATTAGGTGAGAGACAATGGATATTTTAGGTATTATGAATTTAAACCCAAGAACAATGATAATTTTAGCTCCCATTTCTGCCCAATTTAACTTCATGTGCCTGACGTTTTGTTTATCGCTTTTAATGATTTTTGGATCTCTATTTTTCTTATGTTCATATCTCTTTCTTTTTCTCACTCAATTCTGTTTGAATTCATTCAAATCAAGCAGAAAAACATCGTCGTGTTTACTAATTCACACTGTCTTACCAGAGCATTAGATGGTACATCTATTTGCCGAAAGAGACAATTTTCACGATACAAATAAAGAATCACCACAATTTTTGGACCTCGACATATAGATCTACAAAGCGTAGATGCAGATCTAAAGAGCGTAGATGGACGATATGTCAAACATTTCCAAATTAGTTAAGGAATTAATAGTTATCTATAAATTTAGTTACATGTCCATACACTTTCATAGAGTTATATATCGATCTATATAAATCCAAATTTATTAATAGATATCTACGCAATTAAGTTAGTGGTTTAAAATTTGTAATTTCACCCGTACGTTTTTATTATAGATTCAAACTAAAGCCGGTCGCATTTAATAATCGTCACTTCTTTCTGTCTGTTGCCGCGTAAGGGTCAATTCAACTGTTGAGCATTTATTAAATGTCAGATTTTTCTCTCTCTCCCCCACGCGCATTGACAAAATATGCATTGGTTTTTTTTGTAATAACTGGCAAAACTAAACCCTTTTTCAACCGTCTTTTTAGACGTCGTCAGAGACAAACCTCTCTATTGTCTATTTCCTAATTTTATACCCCATTTTTACCTCTGCACAAATTCACTCTAAAAAAAATATATCATAAAAAATTGTAACGAAGAGTCTTCAGCTTTTAACACCTTTTATCATTATTGTTTTTGCACTTTGCATAACATGACATGAGTAATCAACTAATCATGCAATCAACTTTAAAGTATTTACGAATTTACTTAACAAAAACTTTCACCTCATTTAAGTCCCACAACTTTGATTATCTATCTAATCAACCCTAAGTTAAAAAGGTTGGGCCCATAAATATAAAATTTGGGCCTTTGTAGCCCGTTTCACAAAAGCCCATAAAATCAATATTTTACAAACAAGAAAAACAGGTGAAAAATAGACTTGAGGGAAAAAAACAACAAAACCCAGAGTGAGTTCATAAACCCTACTTTCTTCCTCTTCCTCAGTCGAATAGTTGAGGAATACTACAGAAAACAATGTCTCTGAGCTAAACCATGAAGCTCATTCTATTTCCTTTGAAATTTTTCCTGAAAATGTTCTGTTCTCTTCGCAATTTTCTTCACGTTAATCGCCGATTCCCTCGCCATGTAAGCCCTTGTTCCTCTTCCCTCTCTCAAATTCAATCACCTCTCTGTTTCCCTCTATGTTCTCCCTCTCAATCTTCCTTTGTCTCGTGCCCCTTCGTTTGGTTCACTAGCTTTCTCTGTATCATCCGTTACCCTTTCGTTAGCAAAAGCGGTCCTTCTACTCATTCCGAAGATTTCGATAGAGACTGGATCCGTAAAGTTGTTCAGAATAATCTATGGGATGATCCTAGAATCGAAAAGCTTTTTGATTTGACATTGGCTCCGATTTGGGTTCCAAGGGCTCTCGTTGAATTGAAAGAAGACCCTAAATTAGCTCTCAAATTCTTCAAATGGTCTATGACTCGTAATGGGTTTAAGCACTCCATGGAATCTTATTGTATAGTAGCTCACATTCTGTTTTGTGCTAGAATGTATTATGATGCTAATAGTATCCTTAAAGAGATGGTTTTGTCAAAGGCGGACTGCGATGTTTTCGATGTTCTATGGTCGACAAGGAATGTGTGTGTGCCTGGTTTTGGAGTGTTTGATGCTTTGTTTAGTGTTTTGATTGATCTAGGAATGGTTGAGGAAGCTATTCAGTGTTTCTCTAAGATGAAGAGATTCAGGGTTTTCCCGAAAACTCGGTCTTGCAACGGTTTATTGCATAAGTTTGCGAAATTGGGGAAGACGGATGGGGTGAAGAGATTTTTTAAAGATATGATTGGTGCTGGTGCGAAACCGACTGTGTTTACTTACAATATAATGATAGATTGTATGTGTAAAGAAGGAGATGTAGAAGCTGCTAGAGGCTTGTTTGAAGAAATGAAGTTTAGAGGTTTGATTCCAGACACTGTTACTTATAATTCTATGATTGATGGTTTTGGGAAGGTTGGTCGATTAGATGATACGGTTTGCTTTTTTGAGGAGATGAAGGATATGTGCTGCGAGCCTGATGTTATAACATACAATGCGTTGATCAATTGTTTCTGTAAATTTGGGAAATTGCCTAAAGGTTTGGAGTTTTTTAGGGAGATGAAGCGAAATGGGTTGAAACCGAATGTTGTGAGTTACAGCACTTTGGTTGATGCGTTTTGTAAGGAGGGTATGATGCAACAAGCCATCAAGTTTTATGTTGACATGAGAAGAGTTGGTCTTGTGCCTAATGAGTATACATATACTTCCCTCATTGATGCCTATTGTAAAATTGGTAATCTCTCAGATGCTTTTAGGTTAGCTAATGAGATGTTGCAAGTGGGTGTAGAATGGAATGTGGTCACTTACACTGCGCTTATTGATGGCCTTTGTGGTGTGGAGAGAATGAAAGAAGCTGAAGAACTTTTTGGAAAAATGGATAGCAGCTGGATGTGATTCCAAATCTGTAA